GTAGGGAAATTTAACCAAACAAAGTATTTAAGTGCTCTGGAAAGAAGTTCTCTATCTCACACCTCTTTTGCATTATGATACATGCCAGTTATCTTGTGTGGCTTTACCAGTCCTTGTCTTCTATAGCGATACAATTCCAGTGTCACGGACTATATAGCTATTTAAGGAAGAGCATTAGAAATCTTACACTTCTTATCCTTTTATGTTTTTAGGTCTAGTGTATCCAGCCAGACCCCCTCAGCCAAAAGAAGCCTGGGATTTCTTTCTCAGCCTGCCCCTCTTTCTGTTAAAAAAATGAGATCTAATCAAGATTACACAGGGTGGAACAAACCCCGAGTGCCCCTTTCCACCCATCCTCAACAACAATTACAAGGGTAAATTTAATTTTCTTTATCTAGCATGCACACTTTGATCATCAGAACATGCACATTCTTGTTATAATTATTTAATGGAAAAAAAAAAATCCTGAAACTAATGAACACTGAGACAGGGAACACTTTTCCTAGTTTGGAAAAAATGTATTCTTAAATTCACTTCCTGAGAATTTTAGAGATATAATAATTTCAGGTAATTTATGTTCCTTTCTTACACTTTCATGATTCATTTCTCTATCTTGTGTATATACACCATTTTTTTTAAATTTTGATTGTAGAAACTCATGGGTGCTTTCCTGATAAATGCCACCTCCCATGAGTTTTCAGTTTAGTCTGAAGGGCAGGAGGACAGCTCCAACAAGGAACTCTGTGGGGAGTGGCTGGGGTAAATGTCCTACATGTTAGTAGTGCCGTGTTTAACACTGGCATGTTTACACATTGACATACATACCATGTTCAATCTTCTTTTTTTTTTTTTCAGATTTTCAAACTTGGGGAACACCTGCTATATGAATGCCATTCTACAGTCCTTGTTTTCAATTCAGTCTTTTGCTAATGATTTGCTCAAGCAGGGTATCCCATGGAAAAAAATTCCACTCAATGCACTTATCAGGTAAAATTTGCTTTCTGGGAAGGATGTTTTCTGTTTCATTGCTGAGAAACTAGTTTCTTAATAGTGAAGCACCTTTGTAGAGGGTAATTTGCATGTGTAGATAATAAAATAAATCCTAGAGCTCTCTGTATTTTGGAGTTTTACTTTAGAAATAGGAAGTGGGCTCTTAAAAATTACAGTGCTGAGTTACAGGCAGTCTTTTATATCTTCTACTGTATTTCTAGTGGCAGAGTGAAATGCTTCAGAAGAAAATGCAAGAAACTGCAAAATAAATAGATGCAGAATAACTTCTTTTTAAAACATTACCAGCTAGGGTTTAAGCTGGTCACTAGCTTCACCTGATACGTGAGGGTTTATGCCTTTTTGGAAAATACCCTTTATCTAGTAGCTGTGGAGAGCGTTCGAGTTCTGCATGCTTAATCGTTTTCTAAATTCAGCTGAACTCTCAGTTCAGTCAAACCTCATCTCAAGAAACTCCAAAGGTTTCTGTAATATGTAAAACTCTCTTTTCTCTTTGAAATTTTGAATTCCTGTGCCATTCAGATTCCATTGTATGTCTATCAGAAAGACAAACTGGTGTTTGCTCTATGTACCTCACTCTCTGCCATTTGGGATTTTTTTTGTATATGCTCTTGTGTACCTCGTTTCTTTTCTCTCACTAAGCGAGATTCAGGATTATCAGAACCATTTCTGTTTCCATTTCATAGTGGTTTATATGCTTTGGGGTATTTCTATTTTTGCTGTGTCTTCCTGCACTCTTCCTACACTACTTAGGATCAGAGGTTGTTCCACGTCCTCTTGAAATGTCCTTTCCCTAATTTTTGTAGAAAGACCTCTGAAGCTTGTGCCTCATATTCCTCATGGTAAACTGTGTGGGTAGAGCTTGTGCCATAGTACCTCTGATGGAGGGCAGCGTGTGATCCTGTGCCTAAGTACACGTCGGAGTTGATACTCAGTAGCATCTATTTTGGCTTCTGTTGGTTTGGTTATGGGCACGCGATGAATGTTTTTCTGGTTGAAAAGCGATTGCCTATCAACTGCTTTGTGGTGAAAAAGGCGTGTTTCCTAACATGCTTCGCTGAGTAGTTGTAGAGGGTTAGGAGACCACGAGTGTTACTGTAGCTCAGCAGAATAGCAGAAACTTGTTGAGCTGCAGTAAACTGATCAGATTCTCTGGGTAACTGAGTATTAGTTGTTGGTTTGGGGTGGGAGGCGATTGCACAGGTCTTTTCTGTCTTTCTCTCTTTTTTTTTTTTTTTTTTGTGTGTGTGTGTGTGTGTGATGCAACATGACATCTTCCCATCACCCTCCCAGGTGTGTACTATGTCCGAAACTGTTGTGCTTGGAATATATTGGGTGTGTATTTCCTGTGAAATTTTAAAGCAGTTGTAAAAGATAACTAAATCAGAGTAACTGAGAGGCACAGGTAAAGTCAATTTCAACAGTTTTTTAACAAAGTTACCAGTAACACTATATGTAGCTTGAACCAAGGAACTCCTCGTGGCTCTTTGTTACAACTATTTTCTGCTCTATTGTAATGTTTTACTGCGGAAAGAAGTGAGGCTTGAAACTGAGTGGAAATTTAAAAATAAGTAAATAAATAGAACCAGTCTGACCATGCAAGTTGAATTTAATGATTTTGTGTTGCTGATTTTGGTGCCATGTGATTTCATATCTCCTATAGGTACAAATGTTTTCAAAAAGCATTGTGGGTTTTTTTTTTCTCTCATTGTAAAAGATATAGCAGAAATAAGTTTATAGACCTTTATAAGGCTCTTCTCTTTACCTTAAAAGACTGTGGAATTTTTTCGTTCATTCGGGTCCCGTTCCAATGATGGCCTCAAATGAGATTTCAAAATACTTGAAATGGAAAAGGTTAATTATGTATGAGATATTTTCATACAGAACCCCTATACCACTTATCACAGGAGAAAAGCTTTTAGAGACTCTTAAAATGAGGTATCATGAGTTTTATTTTGTTTCTCTAAAGTCCTGGAAAGCCAATCAGTGTTTCATTGCATTGACTTCTGCAGACGTTTTGCCCATCTGCTTGCTAAAAAGGATGTCTGCAGCCCTGAGGTTAAGAAAGAGCTGCTCAAGAAGGTGAAAAGTGCCATTTCAGCTACTGCAGAGAGGTTTTCTGGGTACATGCAGAATGTAAGTACCATATTGTCTAGAAACAATTATGTGTAATTTGTTCAGTGTTTGGACTGCATTGAACTCCTGTCAAACTTCAACTCTATTTGACAGTGACTTGAGCTTTTGATTGAATGACAACAAATACCTGCTGTTTGTTAGAGCAGAACTGCCTTAGTATTGCTGAATGCAATGAACTAAAACATAATTTCCCCAGTCTGTGTGTGTTTGAGAGAAAGATACTGAATGAAGTTGTACAAAATCACTTTGATGAGTTTACCCCGTTTCTAGGATGCACATGAGTTCTTGAGCCAGTGTCTGGATCAGCTCAAGGAAGACATGGAAAAGTTAAACAAAACTTGGAAGAGTGAGCCGGTCCCTAATGAAGATAACTCACCTGGACGGCCTTCTGATGACCTCTCAGCCACCAAAGTTTATACGTGTCCGGTTATCAGTAACTTAGAGTTTGAGGTTCAGCATTCTATCATTTGCAAAATGTAAGTATGCTTGAGAGCTTTTCTCATACTTACCTTAAAAGACTGGGAAGTGTTTCCATCTTACGTGACTTCATCTGCAGGCTATAACTAGAACTAAGAACTCTGTTTTATCCAAAGCTAGATACGTAGAAAATATTCTGTGGTCTAGAAATGCTGTAAACCTTACACCACACTGTCTGCTACTACAGACCTTCTTTAAACAGTCTCATGCCATCTAATTCTTCATTACATATACGGTGGAAAGCCTCTGTGCTTTGCTTTTTGTGTACCAGTTGTATGAGAATAGGGAGAAAAGGGGGTTTCAGCCAAGTAATGTTTCCTCTTAAAAAAAATGGGAAGCCATGTTTTTAATTTGTTCTTTCTAAGGGCTTCCAGGGAATGGCATTTTCTTCTGTCTTTCTAGGTTATTGCGGAAAAACATGTAAACCAGTATGTCTGGGCATTCGTTGTGTGCGACGTGTGCAGCAGATTCCCATAGGGGATGCTTGCATTCCACAGAGTTTTCATGAACACAGATATTCGGGAATATTACTTTGTGTGTACTGCATTAGTTCCCTAAAATAATTAAAAGTAAATTGCATGCAGGTAATAATTATTGAAGACAAATGACTGTAGGGTCTTTTTTTGCCGCCCCCACCGCCCCACGCCACCCCCACCCCCAAGCATAAGAAAATTGAGAAATTTTTTTTTTTTTTTGATGGACTCTACTATTTTGTTTCTAAAAACAGTTTGAAAGTATTTCTAGGCTTTCCCTTCTTCTGGGCTGGAGTCACTACTTTTCTCCTAAGAATGCTGAATGAAGAAGACGTGTTCAGCTACATAGCAGTCACTTTGATTTCATGTATACCTGATCACTTGCCTCTCCAAAGCAGTCTGTGGTTTTTTGTTCTCACCCTTACACAAATGTTTCTTTCAACTTCTAAAGCATCAAAGTGAAATCCCAAAATCCAACTTCGTCATAAGCATCAAACAATTTCATTTTGATGAGTAAAAACAGATTGATCAAGAGGCATATATTTACTGGGAAGTTACTTCGGCCTAAAAAATGTAAGTTGTCATTAATTTCAAATGTATTATTCATCAGGCTTACATAAGCGTGTTTCTTTTTTAGGTGTGGTGAAACAGTCACTAAACGAGAACAGTTTAATGACCTCTCCATTGACCTTCCTCGAAGAAAGAAATTGCTTCCTTCCCGATCGATCCAGGATTCCCTTGACCTCTTTTTTCGGGTACATAGTTTTGGGGTCGTTTTTATTCACTGTGGAGTATGTGTAGATTATGTACCATATGGAAATTTTGATTGTATAGCTGATTATTAGTTTCTCTGACAGTGATTGCAGGCATGTGAAATAATTAACTTTGCACTTCTTTGATGTTTGTGCATTAACAGGATACAGGAGTTTTTATTGTAAAATGCTGTGCAGAAATTAACTGATCCTTACAATACTCCTGTGAAATAGGTAAACTTCCCCGTTTTGTGGTGGAAGAGTTGAGGCATAAACAGATACAAAGGAGAGAAGGGAGGCTGTCAGATTGAGATAATCACTCAGGAATTGCTGCTTCCTCTCCTGGGCTAGGATGCTTCAACAGCTTACGTACTGGCCTAAATTAGCATGGAGGAAAAAGGTCATGCAGATACAATAATTAAAAAAATAGTTGTAATAATATGTGGATGCTCATCTTGTAAGAGCTTCAAGGTGAGGTTTCTGAAAGCTAAAAATGAGCCTTACGTCTGTGAATTAGTGTTGTTTTTTGTCATATCTTGAGACAGATCTGTGTTTTTTCTCCATTTACAGATAGTGTTTTCAACAGGTAGAGTAGATGACATGCTTATTTTTCTAAAAGCTGGTGGAGGTCCTATGATTTTTAAAAAAATCTTAAAATCATAGTGGTGTCATTTGGCCTCACTTAAAGAAAAAGGCTGTAGAAAAGTTTGATGGCGAAGTCATGTAATTTCAGCACAGTGATGCTTCCCCTTTTGCTGTCTGTTCAAAACTCTACTTTGGTGCAGCACATCCTTGACAAGTTTAGATCAGGATAGCTTTTTGGGAACAAAGTTGAGATTTTGAACAAGAGAGAGAAAACTTCATGGCAAATTATCCTCCACCAGAAGTTATTAGAAAAAAAGACCCCGTGTATGAGAGAGAAAACTGTAAACCTTGCAAGATTGTCCCCTGTCTTTGGAAGCTTATTTTTCTCAACTGTGGCTAGTTCACTGGTCTGCAATAGACTTGTAGGAAAAATTCCACCCATATTAGTAGATACGTTGTCAAATTGTAAGCTCTGCTACATGTCCTCTTACCAGATGCCCTCTTGTTAGGTCGTATTGAAGGTGATTATAATTTTAAGTGTAACTGCTGTTTTGAAGAGCTTCTGTGACAGCCAAAAGTGATGTGCTTTCGGTTAAGATCTTTTTGATGCATCTTTTGTTCCACTAGTCATTTTTCTGTTCTCTTAAACAGGCAGAGGAGATCGAGTATTCCTGTGAGAAGTGCAATGGAAAGTCTGCTGTTGTCACACACAAGTTCAACAGGCTTCCCAGGTAAATGTTGACAATCTGTTCCTCTCTTTCCTGGAAGCACATGTTACAAAAGCGCAAGCAAAACTCCCTCGAAGAGTAAAGCTGGCAAAATGGGTAGGACAGCATGTACGGTGGTCAGCATGTGAGAAAGATGCACGTGCAGACAGTAGTATTCATGTTGTTCTTCAGTTTCCCTCTAACGAAGCTCTCTTGAGCACCCTCTGCAATACTTCTTTCTTCCTCCCTATCGCCACACGAGGAGGGCTGAGTTTTCCCCTTCCCCTTTTCTTGGGGTTTCTGGTATGTGAGGGAAGCAGAAACAGTAAATATATTCTGGAAGTATAACATTTTGTGCTGGGCTCACCTGATGGGCAGGACTGAGTTGGAGGCATTAATTAGTGCCAGAAGGTATATAGAGGGTTTTGCTTTGATCAATTAATTCTTCCCATGCTGATACCTATTTTCTCTCTCAGTAAGCATGGCACTTTGAGGAAAAGGCAGACACTTTGAGGGTTAATGGCATGCTCAATCGTTTCTGACCTCGTGGTTGGGTTTAGTTCATTATTTAGAGTGGAAGTGCTTGGAGGTAGGGATCATTTTCTTAAGCTAAGTCTGTTGGATGACTTTATCTGGCCTATGTCCTTGTCCCAGGTATATTGAACCCAGCAGCTTGGTAGTTAGCTTGCATTTTGCTTAAATAGTGCTAGCACTACAAAACTCTTGTCAAAGTTTTTGAATATTAGCACAACAGAAGTGATGATACAGCTGCATGATCTAAATAGACAGTACAAAGTGCAGCATGAGGGAGAAGATTCAGTGTAAGGATGCCTTTTCAAGCTCTTTATACTGTTGTGATCAAAGGCTCTTTCAAAGAGAAAGTGTCGTGACAGATAAACCAAGTACACATCTTGCACTGGGCACAGTTCCTCCTCAGTTTTGGGCAGCTGTGTGATCTCTCCATCACAGTCTTTAATATTTGGGAGTAATATACTAGCATTCTGGCCTGTAATGATAATATTTTGACTGTTTCCTACCTCTCACTGCATAGCAGAAATAATGAGTTTGGTAAGAGCTGCTTGCTCCTGTTGACTGAAGAGCAAGGTGATGCAGACCAAAGCAGGAAGCCTCTTGAGTTGACAGAGTCTGTACTCTGCACCTTGCACAAAGTTGAGTGATGGACAGGAGAGTAATTACCTGTCTCTTGCCAGTTAAGAGATGGATAGTGTTTCCCTACCACCCTGAAGTAATAATCTGTTTTAGAGTCAGATGAATGCATTTTGTAAACAGGGCTATTTGGTTTTTGAGTAGGTTTTCTCTGACTTCTGTCTTGAGATTAACATTTGTCCTTCTCTCGTATCTCTCAGGGTCCTGATTCTTCATCTGAAACGATACAGCTTCAATGTAGCATTGTCTCTCAATCATAAAGTCGGGCAGCAGGTGGTTATTCCAAGATACTTAACCCTGCTTTCACACTGTACGGAAAGCACTAGGCTGCCACTGACGCTGGGATGGAGCGTCCATTCTGCAATGTAAGTGTACAACTTGTGATTGATCCATGCTGTCTTAAGCACATATGCCACAAGGCAGGCAGTTGTCAGATCTCCTCCAGAAGATGTCTGGGCAAGGGAACATTAAAATTATGCGGCTTCAGATGTGCAGTGCTAGTTTGTAATGATGCCATCATAAGAACATTTAAGGAAAGGAAGCATGATAGAAGCAGCAGGAAGAGTTGGTGGGGCATTATCTAGGGAATATTTGGTACGATAATACTCTTCACTGTTCTTGAAAATAACTTTCTATCCTTTTTAAGACAGCTTCTGTTAGTAATTTCTAGAATTTATGCCTCTCGGTCCAAAATAATCTAGATTACCTTTCTCTTCACAGCACACTTAACTCTGCTTAGCAGACATAACATCCTACCTTTTTCTGCTAATTTCCACTGTGCTATCATTCATTTTTCATTGTCTTTCCTGTGCCACTGTAGTATCTGAGCACTTCACATGCTGAAAATACACTCTCCTTTTCCCTGTGACAGTTATTTCTGTACAGCTGCTTGCCCTGTGACATGGAGATTAAATGTTGTCACAAGTGGCAAGTGGAAGTCTGTGGCAGAATAAGGAACAAGAAACCCTCAGGTCTCTTGTGGTCCGTGCCTAGTGACATAAACACGGTAGCCGTCGTGAGTTAGGACACATCTGGTATATATGTTCAGCAGTGTTCTTGTGCTGAACGTTTAGTGGCATTTGAGATTTATGTGAATGTTTCCCAAGAGTTTGCTTTAACAATAGAAATCTTAAGCAAAACAAATAGCTTAAGCTAACCAGAGCAGAAATACTTGAAAATATGTTTGAAATAGCTTTCCAATGGCTTTTTTTAGTCATTGAAACCATTCTGATTGACCAAAGAGTGGAAGGGTAACTTAGGCTGGAGAGAAGCAGCCCTGGTTTGAGGTGGAAGATTAGAAAAGATTTCTGCGTTGGCAGCCATCTGGTGGATAGATGTGTAGTGATAGTGATGGACTTTGAGGAGCTCCTGAAAGGATTAAATGGAGCAGGAAGTTTGTTTAGAAGAATCTAGGTAAGGGAGGAGAAATGGAGATGTGGGACATGCCAGGAAACCGGCTGATCCAGACAGCAGCAGGAGACTGTGGTTTGGGAGCAGGAACTCAAGTGTTGGTGGGAATAAAAAAATAAAGGAATGAGTTGTCTTGACATGGGAGCCCAAAGCCTTTAATTTGTGAGCTTGTCCCTAAGGGTGCATCACTAAGAAGTGAATCAAGTTTAAAGGATTACATATGATTTTGAACAACTGTTGTATATTTATAACAGGATGGAGTTATTACTCTAAATCTCAGCAATTAGCAAGTACATAATGGTATTCTACTTGTTTCTTTGGTCGTGGATTTGCATGCATAGCAGACAAGTAAACACTTATTTTTTGAAGACTGTAACTGCTGCAATGAATACTTTGCTTTTTTAATAGTTCCCGTCCATTGAAAGCCTCCCAAATGGTGAATTCCTGTACTATAAGCACTTCCACACCTTGTAGGTGAGTTATAGCTCTGAAATGCCCATGGCCTGGGGTTTCATGGGATAATTTTTAAGGCATTTTAAAATTTTCTAATTCTTCTTTAATCTTTACACTTTTTCTATTTGTTTTCTTTTCTTCCTATTTTTTCTGTTGTAGTAAATTATTTCAGCTACTGACTTTTTTCATAGCTGAGTTTTATTGGTGTTACATGTTAGCTGAAATTAATATCAATGGTACAATTTGCCTAGTTGACATGAACAACTTAGCATTTCTTTTGAGAACCTTTGGGGACTTGTAAGTAAGCAAAGATGATTTTTTTTCAGACAGAAGGCTGAGCATCAGAATGAGAACTGGATTTAGTTTGTACAGATGATTTGTCAGTGCCAGATATCTTGAACTAGCTTGCATTTGTAGTTGCAGGTCACATATATAGGAAGCAAAATGGTTTCTAATTCTGCAGTCAAGCTCTTTTCTCTATTCTGGCTCTATGGAGCCCCAATGTGTGTTTTGGCAACAGGTCGTTAGTTCCTTAAGTTTATTTGCAAAGATGAGAGGGCATTGTTTTTATAGGCCAGTTTTTGATATAGCGAAAAATGTGGTATCACACTGGATAGTTTTGCATTGTGGAATACTTAAAGACGAGATTTCCTAATTGAGCAGAAATCGCAACTTCCCCAGACTCCCTTGTCTTCTGTTCTAAAGAAGCACAAATTTATCTTAATGAAAGAGCAAACAGGGGGAAAACTGAAAAACTTGTGCAGATTTGCGCTTTTTGTGTCCTAGTAATGATGTGGGAAGTCCTGTGTCCAGCTTACTAAACTTCGGAAGTCAAATGGTTTGTGCCGAGTTCTACATGTCACTGTGGACTCGACTCAAATGAGTACTGTCTGGGATTGCTAGGTAATAAAGTGCAGAATCCTTGGCCTCAGAAGCAACAGCCACACACTTAGTAACTTTTAATGTTGTAAGTTGCTATTGCAGGCTTGAAGTGGGTATGTCAGTTAACCTAGTAAAATATACCTTTTCTGAAAACCCTACCTGCTATGTTAATAAATTGTCATTGTCAATCATTGCAGTTTGTTCCCCAAATTGTACTGTACAGTGTGAAAGTTGGTGTAACACATCTTTAATGGTTACTTCAAAACAGGTTTGTACAATGCTACAGTGCTATAAAGTTTTATAGCCATGTTTTTAATTTACAGAAAATACACTTTCAAGTCAAAGAGCTCTGCAGCACTCTATGTAGATTCTGACAGTGATGATGAGCCGTTGAAACGCTCTGTTGCCCATAGCCAAAGGTTGTGTAACATACAGAGTAGAGATCAGCAACAACTGCAAGAAGAGCCAGAAAAGGTAAGGGAAAAAACCACAAACTTTCATATATGTAGATCCTATATGTGCTCATGTCTGGCCTATGCTTTTCTTAGCATAGACTGTGAGTAAAATTGATGTAAGGTAAGTTTTTTCTCCTAATTAGCACTGCAGTGCTGGAAGGGAGTGCTTTGCTAATTGACCTCTGTGTACAGTTGTCTTGGGTTCCCACTGGGAACAGAGGTAATTGTGTTGCAACTGCACTTGAGTTTTCAGGTTATGTATGCCAGCTGCTTAGCAGTTTTGTCAGTCCTTTGGGTAACTTTCACTAATAATGTTTCCAGGCTGAAATATAATGGGCTGTCAATAATAAAATTATGCAGTAAAGCCCTTGATTAAATTAGATCCAGTACAAGATGGGCTAAGCAAAATATTCAATTGAGATAACTTCTTGCAGATCCACTCTGTGTCCCCTTTCAAGTGTGGCTTTTTAAATGCTTTTAGAAACTGAAGCTATCCGTCTTTGGGGGTGGACACGTAGAAGTGTGTGGAGATCAAGTTCATTGGTGTAAAGGCGCAGTTAACTTCAAATTGCCTTTGAGCTCTTCATTGTGACTAGTATTAATGTTGCCGAGATATTTTTTGCCTCTGTCAGGGCAGTGTATTAGCAGGTAGGTGAGTTGTGTGGGAAGGAATGATGACCCAGAAGGGAAAACAAGAAGCTTAGAGGATTATCTTGCAGTACCACTTTCTTCTATTAAGAGTGTTGCAGGCCTAGTGCTTAGGACAAGTGTCCTGCATCTCTGCTTCTCTGAAGTTTTTGACATTGTTCATGGGATTATTTTAATCAAGCAGAGACTTGTGGTCTTGATTATGGCATTAAAGGACGGGCGTAAAGCTGGCTGAATAGCAATAGGTAACAAGAGGAAGATATCTACAGTTTCTGATCTCATGGGAAGATCAACCAAGGGAGGATCCTGATCCACTCAGTATTTAATAAATGATAAAATAGATAATAAGTATTAAATTTTCAGAAGACCCAGAGCTGGGAAGGGCTGCCGGTATGATAAAGCTCAGAACTACAGTTAAGAATGATCTTGACAAGTCTGAGAAATTGCATAAAAATAGGAGGGGTTGTTCAGTAGGAACAGGCTAAAGGTGCTAATCTTAGCAGGACTAATTGACTATAAATGCAGGATGGGAGCAGCTGGGAAAGCAGTGGGCCCTCAGAAAGGGCGTGAAAGGTGACAGTTGGTCACAAGGTCAGGCTGGTTGAAAACAGAAGTGTATAGACAGAGGCATAGCCTGCAGGTGGTGTGAAGTAACCCTCCTTTTTTCCTCAGCATTGTGCTTTAGCTGGAGTTCTGTATTCAGCTTTGGGCTCCGGACTGAAAAGAGTTATAGATTAATTGGAGAGGGACCAGAGGAGAGGAACATGAATGGTTGGAGGTCTAGAAAGGAAGATTCTGGGGGAGAGAGCAGGCAAGTGAACTTGGGTCTTTAGTTTAAGGAGAAACCTAAGCCGGGCTTGTGTCTTTAAGGAAGGGAAAGAAATTAATAGAAACACTTGAGCTGTTATCCATGCCCGTGGTGAATAGAACAAGAAGTAATAGACTAAATTGCAGACAGTCATTTTTAGATTAAATATTAGGGAAAACTTCCTGATGCTAAGGATGTGTAGGGATGAAATGGATTGCTTTGGGAGAAAGCAGAAAACCCTTTGCTGAAGGTCTCAGGAACAGGGTAGGCAACGGCCATCCTGCATGGCACATCTATAGCTGGCTGTGGGTGAGAGAAGTAAACTGGCTTGTCTTTGAAGTCTCTCTTACATACAGAAAAATTATTCCAAACTGTCCTAAATGATTCTTCCTTGAGTTTTGTTTGTGAGGAAGTGTAGGTAGTCTCTATCGCACAAGCCCTGTGAGTGCAGAAATTGTGGGAATAAAGCTTATTAATTTGAATAGCAAATTAATTATAGGCTTTCCAGCGTGCTGTGGGAAAGAGACAGTGGTGGTGATGATTTCACATAAGTGACTTTATTCTTTGTGGCTGTGCACGTTGGCCACTCCTCAACCACAGGCCTGACCAGCCATCTGTTATCATTAACCAGATTCTCTGTCCTTCTCAGTGTTGTCCTGGAAGGACCTGGTCTTGTCCTTGGAAGTAGCGTTACTGCTGCTGCACCATTTCCCTTGGTATGCCTCTCATAGCAGCTGTGGATGGGGTTGCATTAGGGGTGCAGCCGGTATATCCCCTGCAGGGCACTGCTTGCAAAGCAGTCCTGCCGTGTGGGAGAACAGCTGGAACAGCGGGTGTGTACGACATTGGGTTGTAGGGGCAAATAGCAGTTATCCAGCTAAAGTAGGCAGAACTGCAATTTCTGTGATTTCTGCCTCTGCAGATGAAGTAGTATTTGAAGTACTTTTTAAAAATACTTATTTAAAGCAGCCTGTCTTAAAGGCTAAGCTACTTAAAATCTATGCAAATAATTTCTAATAGAAAAGTTGTATTCAAATAATGCAGAGATGCTGCCAAGTCTTCAAAGTCCAGGCACTGAATTAGTGGTAGTTGTTGGCAAAGTGTCTGGAACTAGGGTTTGCTGAAGAGCTAAACCAGTTTTGACGTTAGTAGCCTACAGGTGCAGAGAGAGAAATCAGAAAGCTTAAAAAGCAGGTACTCTGCTTTCTTTATTCAGTGCATGAATAGATGTGAGGAGAGAGGTTTAAATTTGTCAGTTCTAATTCTTGGAGGGCATAATGTCTAGAACAAGCAATTCAGTTGGATAATTCATTTGCTAATCTTGTTTGATAAGACAGTTTTAATACAAAATGTTTGCTATATAAAACTGGTCTTGCTCGTCAAAAGCTTGCTGTATTTATGTAAAAAGCAGCAGTAAAAACGTATTTTTGTTCATTTTAATGAAGTTCTGAGATCCATCCAAATGCAGTTTGGAATAAGACCTGGATAAGTACATTCTGATAGAAACTACTTTTCCCCATTTTTAATGTAATGTAGGAAAAAAAAAATCTAAGCATATGGTAAGTAGTGTAATTGTGTAAATATGTATACATGGAGGTTAACCTCCTGATTAACAGTTAATATGAAAATGATTGAAATTACTATATTAGTTACAAATCAATATGATGTAGGAGTTGATGAGCATCAGTTTTAGGAAAATAACTAGAAAAGGAAAAATTCAGATTAAGACTAAAGTGTTTTTCCTTTCTTCCAGTTTAAAGTCATTCTGTTCTCCTTAGGAAAGAATAATTCCCCCCTTTCCCTGGTTAACTGTTTTCTTACTTGGTTTGCAGAGTCCTGCCCCCCGCCAAGATTTCGTATGGCAAGTCTGCAGCACCAAACCTAATTTTAATTGCTCTTCATACCAGCCTGATTTCAGTTCCTATTCTTCCATCCCTGTGTTCAAGTTCAATTACTCTCATGTTGCTGCTTCAGCCTTTGTTAACAAACTTGCAATTTCGCTACTTGTGCCTCAGCACTGACTTGGCAGAGGCTTGAGGATTCATCAGAACCTAAAGGTGAAACACATGTGTTGAAGGAAAGGAAGGAGAAGGGAAGAGTTATCTTGTGTATGTTAATCTAGAGGGCCTGTAAAAACTGGTTTTAGTTTATATTTAAATATTATTCCGTGGAGTGAATGTAACTACAAAGGTTGTCTCTCCATTGAGTCTTGTATAACTATCTGTTTAATGTTGGCAGAGCCAAGCTCCCACTCCCTGGGGTTAATAAAATAAAATAAAAAAATCTCCAGATAAATGTAAAGCTGATGTTATGTATGTGTTTATTCAAGCACTTAATCATAACTCCATTCATCTCTAGGGTTCAAAAAGAAGTAAAATGGAGGGTGATAAACCTGAGCTGGGTAATGCTGGTTTTGATGGGATGAGCGAAGATGAGCTGCTAGCAGCTGTCTTAGAGATTAGCAAACGGGAAGCTTCTGTGTCTCTGAGCCATGATGAAGATAAGCCCACAAGCAGCCCAGACACTGGTTTTGGAGACGACGAAATTCAGGAATTGCCAGAAAACCTGGAATCTATGGAGATGGAGAAACCCAAAGCAGCATTAGACTCAGGTAAGGCGAAGTAACCATCTTAATTGGACTATAGCAAGCTAAAACAGGTTACTGATAGCGGCAGGTTAGTAATGTATGGTGGCAGAATCTGGATGGAAGTGCACTGCTGAAACTGCCTGACTTCCTCAGAGTTTTCTTACAGTTTCCCTGTGTATAAAGCATTTAATTCATTGAACTGTGAAAATGTATTTTCTTGTATGTCTGTCACCTATCTGATAAAAGGTAAGGTCATCTTCAAAGTTAATTTCCATTTTTTTCTCTCATGATTAACACATGCTTCTGCTGGTTCCTGTACCAGACAATTCAATTTACTAAGATTTGACAGTGTCTGGAACTTAATCTTCCATAATCAGAAAGTATTTTCATTTCTGTAGCTGTTGCAGCCTGGGCAGCACGGTAGCAGCGTTTGCATTGCTGGTGTGCAAGAGTGATGTCTGGGGTGCATAAGACTAGAATACTTTCATAAATGCAGTTATTCTGTCACTAGTTACTAATGAATTTAGCTCTATCAATGTAATTTTTTCTAATACTTTTTTGTGTTAGAGTAGACCTTTGAGCATAAGAGACCCAGCATGTAAATTATGGCCTCTGACCCAGAAACACAGTTAAGTACAAGAAGGAGCCTATTTGATCTCAGTGTGGGGAAATCGAGTGTCTTTCTTTAGTTGGCTGAAGGAAATTTAAGTGTTTATCATTTGTTGTGTGCTATATGCTTTCAGTCAGATTTTTAATTCCACTAGCATGGAAAAACAGGCCAACAATATGCTCTTTATTCTCCTCTAAGAGCCAGGAGGTTAAATATTAACAACAAAAAACCTCACTCTATTACCAAAAATCATACTTGTTTCAATGGACAACTCTTAACAGCTTTCATGTTGGAAGGCAGCGTATAAAAAAAACGAAGTTTGTGGTCAGCCTTGTTTGTGCCCTCCTTTATATACACTAACGTTGCTTATGGTTGTGTGAAAGAGAGTTGTGAGAGTGTGGCCACATAAATGTATCTCTCTCCAGGTTTTCTTTGGAAAGTATAATTTGAAGGCTCTATTGTGACGTTTAAGCAAAAAGTATGTGTTTAATAAAAGTTTCTGTATTTTCTGATTAAGAATGCAGTTAAACACTCAACATTGCATTCAGCTTTCTGTATTTGACTGTGTATGACCAAAAACCACAAGTACTGCTCAAAGCATACAGTTTGGCGTTCAGATGAGATATGTGTGTATGTTGAGTTACCAGTTATGGCAGCTGAATGTAACACACCAATTCACAACCCTATGTTCTATTTAAAGGAAACTTAATTGCAAAGGATGCTTTGCTATATCAGACAAGATGATTCTAAACATGACGGATTTAACTTGGTCCATTTCTAGCAACGATTTTTTTTTTATAAACACTGAATAACTTGCTTTCAAAAAAGGCTAATTTAGATACGACAGATGATGTCTTTTCTGCCACATGATCCTCAAATAACGGTTGTGTGAGTTGAGTGAGTATTTCTACTTACATTAGAAGTTTTCGAAGGTCATATAATAAATTCTGGTTTTGTTTTTCATCTTAAGAGGATTAGACTGATGGATCATAGTTCTGGTGGTTTTGTGTTTAAGAGGTCACAGTTACTGAGACTGCCTTGTATAATCCTTGCTAATAACTAATGAGTAGATGTTGAAGTCTGCGTAGGGCAAAACTATGAAGTTTCACATGTTGCCGCATGGTAGCTGTTGGAGCAGGTCCTGACTCTTTCTCAGCTGCAAGCAAATGGGAGAATCAAAATGTCCTGCAACTGCAGGAGATGTACGCAATGGGTGAATGAATGTTCATTCCAGAAGCTTTGTAAAATACTTCTGCCGTAGTGTTCACTTTAAAGGTGAACTGAAAAGTTATAATCTTCTTGCACTTTTAAAGCTGTAGATAGTGTTCACAAGATTGAGGCTCTTGCCTGAAGGAAAAAGTTGATAAATTTAAACAGTGCTTGAGATTTGTGCTTCCCTCCGTCTTACATATGATTTGGCTTTAATTGTGGCTTCGTCTGTAGTACTCCGAGGTATAATATACAATGCAAATTTTTATAATCCATGGTTCCTTCTAGAGAAATTCAAGTGAGCTTCATGGCTGCAGAAACCTAGTGGTGTGTGACATCTTAATTTAGCTAAAGTTGCTGTTTCTGGGTGAACATAAAAGGCTAAGAAGAGAACAGGTTCAGGGATTAATCAAATGGGTCATCTTACACCTGTTAAAATAAGTATAAGACTGCACTTTGGAGCTTTTTCCATTTGACTCGTGTGGTTTTTTTAGGGCTGGTGAGCTCTCCCTGTCAATAGATGTCACTGTGCTGCAAGGATTGTGGTGATTTAAAGAGGATTTAGCTGGTAACAAACAGAAGACCCAGGAAAGCATAACTGTACTTTCTGATTCTTCAGGTCCTGCCAATTTCACCGAAATAACTAAAGATTTTGATGAGAATAAGGAAAACAAAACTCCGGAAGGCTCCCAGGGGGAGGTTGACTGGCTGCAGCAGTACGATATGGAGAGAGAGAGGGAAGAACAAGAACTTCAGCAGGCACTGGCTCAAAGCCTTCAAGAGCAAGTAAGAAATAAAGTTTGCTTCCTTGAGTTATCTTCCCCAACGTTGGAAACCTGATGGCTAAAGGAAAAGCCTGTGTTCAGGCAGTAACTGCAAAGGGATTCTGCTGCTTTTTTGAGACAACCAGATGAAAAAAAGGTTTGGATTTCTTCTAGCTCCAGTGTCAGTAGAGTGATGGCACTGGATACATGTGGGCAGGTTTTGTATGTGCTTTGGAAACCATATATCACATCACAGACCTGCAGATTTCTCAAAGCTTTCTGTGCACATTTATACACTGGCTTGTAACATTATATAAAAATGAAGATAAATTGAACTGAACTCTTACTATCTGTCACTGAGAACCAAGCCCACCTTTAACTTCCCTGGCAGTTGCTTCCTGCAGCGTGTCGTGTTGAGACTCAAAGTGAAAGAGGCAAGTTTCAAAGCAAAGGCTAAGAACAGCCGTGCCAGGTCAGGTTAAAGATCCGTCTATCCCAGTGCCTTGTTTCTGGTACTACCAAGTAGGGGATGCTTAGTGAAGAATAAAGGAACTGAGCACTTATGTGATCCTTCCCTGTTAGTAAAATGGAAAAAGGATCCCAAATAATTTAGTCTAAAACAAGTCCTTTAAATTAGACTTGGAAAGAATTGGGATCTTGGGTTGTGTGCTAACCATCTGTATTCCACTTGAATTTCAAGACCTGTAACTGATTTCCACAAGTTTAACCGAGCCGCTGAGAGTGAAGCAAGCGCTTAGCCAGGTCTTTCTTTAAATAGGTGCCCTTGTCTGCTCTCTATTAATACTAAAGCTGTCATGGTTTTCCTTATGAGATCTGATGTTTCCATGGCTCTTGGATTATTTCTCTCCCATTACTCATTATGAGGTGCTGGTTGGCATGTTCCATGCCAGATGTAGCTTTGATTCAGTGATGCTGAGTAGTTTAACAAAGATTCCCAAATGCTTTAGAAATAGTGAGATAAAAGGCCTCATGCTAATAATGTAAAACTGCCCTTTGAGTGTTGTTCTGCTACAGTTCTGAAGCGAAAATCTGCTATTCTAATGATTCAGGCATGGAAATGCAGTAGCTGTGGTTATCTTGATTTGAAATACGTAGTTAGGGTTCTGCGTTCAGGTGCACTGAAAGCATTCAAACTCTGAATTAAGAAGCCAGCTCGTTAAATATTATTGACTGGCTTGCTGTAGCTCTGTGCTTTCAAGAGTGGTGGGAGGAACAGGGGCATGATATTATCCAAAGATTAGAAGGGTTTGTTGACTTGAGGTTTCTTTGCTCCTTGAATGGTAATATTTTTAATACCTGGTTGTTCAGTGGTGTCTTTTTTTGCATCCTGCCTTTGTGAATTACACCTGTTACGTAGAACCACTGGCTCTACTTTCAAATGACTTAAAAATAATAAAATCTGTCAGGATTTTAACAACTATGTCCTCAGCTGGCTTTGGGCAGAAGTAGTCTAAATTTTGCCAAAGTGTAAGGAGCTTTGTGTGTAAGTGACAGCTTTCCTTAGCGAAGGGTTGCAAATTCATTCAGATGCTTTTCAAATTAATGATCCAGAGAAAGCGTTCGGTGTTAAGAGAGACTTGCTCTGCTGCATACCAAACTTCAGGAGCTTTGACGAGCGTTAATGAAGGTTTGTCCCAGGTTCTGTTGCACGGGAACATTGGACTCGCGCTGGTTGCAAACATTCCTTCACACAGAACCTTTAATTTACAATGTCAGGTTTGTTGTAGAAACCAGAGCAGCACAGTTTCAATAGAAAAAGAGCACCACAAGAATTTTAAACAGTGAAGTGTCTCAGTGAGCTAAGTTCTGTTCTCTTCCCATCAGGAGGCGCGAGAACAAAAAGAGGATGATGACCTTAAACGAGCCACGGAATTAAGTCTACAAGGTGAAACTTATTTAACTTCTTCCAGGATGTTGCTTTTGAGGGAAAATAGATCTGTATGTATGAGTGCAGCTCCTGAGTGTCTGTAAGACAGCTGGGATTTCACGCTCTTTTGGTGTGCGCTTTGTTGTGTTTGGCTTCGCTCAGGTCAGCTTTTCTTGCTCTTGGTTGTGAAAGCAAATGCCAGGAAAAACTTAATGTGAAAACCAACTTATTTCATTCTCTTGACTTTTTAATGAGAGAGAGAGAGAGAGAGAGAGAG